CGAGTACTTAAATAGTATTTACACAAAAGGAAAAATATATATATATACTTTTTTTTTTTCAACACTACATACTTTTAACTCTATTTTGTTAGGTCATGACATCAAAGACATGTGAGACTTTAGTGCTGTTATACACCACTTAATTGATATGTAACTAGTTTGTATTCGGGTGGTACCCCCTGGATATCTTGTACATAATAATATTTTTCTTTCATTTAAAAAAAAAAACACTACATACTTTTGCTAGAAACGCCTGAAATCTGCCATAACCACGTGCTCTGTCACAAAAACGTTATGGTTGTTGGAAGTGGATCTGGTTGTGGATTTAATTAATGGAAAAATCTCAAATAGGCTAGCTAAATATTTTTGGGGGAATGTAAAAATTTTAAGTAGGCTAGCTAATTTTTCTTTTGAAATAAAAAATATAAATAATATTACCATGCACCAAGAGGGTGCAACCAATGTACAACATTTACAGCTTAGTCATCATGAGACAAAAATGATAAAAATCATTTATAACCGCTATTGAACGACCCGTCAACAAAAACTAAGGGTCTTAAACCAGCTTTTTTTTAAAATATCAAAACTTTTGCAGTCCTACAAAAGCTCTCCTGTTCCTCTTCTTCCAAACCGTCCAAAAATGGTGAATAGTTAAACTTCAACAATATCACTATTGCTTTTCAGATACTCACACGCCATAGCTCCTCTTTAATCGACCCCACCTTAACCGAACTAATCCCCAACGCCCGATACACCAAAGACCACAACTTGAAGGCAATAAGACAACATAATAGCAGATGTTTACAGCTCTTCTCCTCCTAAAGGCACATATAACACGCATTTACCAGCACCTGTCTTCTCCTTCTTAACTTATCAATGGTAAGAAGAGATTCTGTCGATGCATCCCAATCAAAAGAAGATACCCTCGGAGGGTCTTGGACTTTCCAGATCTGCTTATGAGGGAATTGCCCAGTGTTCTCATCTCTCCCAACAAGCCTTTTATACCAGGACTTCACGTAGAAAGAGCCACCCCTTGTAAACCTCCATCTTAGCTTGTCATTCTCGTCATTGAGGGAAACAGAAGATAGAATGCTCAACAACTTCGCATACTCACCAATTTCCCAATCATTAAGATGCCTCGCAACCCAATATCAGCCACCCCCCTCTCTCAGTGACAGCATCATAGAGGTAATCACTAGTTGTAGCCTCTCTGTTTTGTGCAATAGAAAAAATATGTAGAAACTGGGCATTGTGTAATATTCAGACTCAGAATTTGGCTCGAGATTAATTTTAGAATTTAAAAACATGTATAAAAATATAATTTTGAAATTAATAAATTTTTATTTAATGTGAATTTAGGAAAAAAATAGGTTAATGATGAAATTGAAAACAATTTTTGAAAAAAGAAGTGAAAATTTGGGTTCAGAGTGTTTTTTAAAGAAAAATCGAAAACTGTGGGTCAAAACGCAATTAAAGAAAATTGTGTTACGTAGGACCGCCCAGTCAGCAGCTCCGACAAACTGAAGAGCGCTGCACGACAAAACACGCTGACTCGGTGCTACACGGGAGACTACGCTGGCAATCCGCGTGCCTGCGATCAGACGGCCCGTAAGCGTTTCTGCGCGCATGAACGGTTCGGATCCGTTCCCTTCTCAGGCGCGATTGGACGGTCGCGATTAAACGCAATGAACGGTTTAGATTCATTCCCTCTTTAAACGTGATCAGACGGTCGAGATCAAATCGTAATGAACGACCCATATTCATTTCCTCATTAAACGCGATTGGACAGTCGAAATCAAACGTAATGAACGACCTAGATTTAAGCGAGACGGGTATAAATATCTCGCATCACACTGAACCCAAACCTTAGCCGTCAACTTCCCGTCAGAGAAGAAGAACCAGTCGGCGGAGAAGGGAGGCGACTGTTGTCTGCCGCCGCGTCGGAGCCACATTCGACTGCTAAAAAAAGTAAAAACTCTCCTCTCCGCTCGGAATTTGATTCTGAGCACCTTCAAGGCCGAATCGGAGCAAAAGGAACGGCGGATGAACCGAAAATCGCGGGTAAAGCCCGACGCTGCTGCTGCGGGCAAAATTTGAAACTGCCTCCGATGAGTCCCTTTCTGTTTTCCGTTTCGTGCGATTTTTTCACCATTTTGTTCACCGTTCTGTTTTTTACAGATTGACTGAAGAAAAACATTCAACCGCGATGGTGAGCTGGCAGAGCCGCCACACCGAAAAACCCCGCCACCGATAAGCTTTTGTTTTTTGACTTTTTTAGACCAACCAAGGTCTCATAACGTGTTTTCTCGCAAGGATGAGTGTAAAACCGGCCAAAACTGGCTGAAAACGGGTAGATCGAGGCAAACCGCTGCCGCGGGCGGCGGTGTCGTCGCTAGAACATGGCAGTGCTGCCGTGCTGGAATTTTGAAATAGGCCAAAAAAAGTTTTTAACACCGATTTTGAATTTTTTGGGGTATTTTTAGGTACGTAAAACGTGTTTTAATTTTCGCAGAAAAATTTAGGAAACCCGAGGACCGCCAGTAGGCGCAGTAGAAAGTTCTATGTTTCAGACACTGATTTGGGTAAAAATTCCTCACGTTATTTTTTGTTATGGAATTGAAATTTAATAATCGGTAATATGATATTTTGTGTAATTTAGAAAATTTTGAGAATAATTACAGGTTACTAATGGAGTCGGAAATCGATTAGTCATTTATTTGTTGTCCTGTTTAACTGATTGTTGAATTTACAACTTTAAATACATTATGATATACTGGAATGGTTAAGTGATTCAATTGTACTTCATTGATATATATATTACTTGTCTTGCGTGATTGACGGTTGAATTGTGAAATTGGTAATTAATATGCGAATAGGAAATTGATTGGCTACGTGAATTAATGGATGATAGCCTTACTGGATATTTTGGGAGATGGTGGACGGACTGGGTACATTGGGAACCCTACCGTGAACATTGCCTCATACTGGACAGAGTATCAAAGAATGGTATTTTTGGCGCTTTTACCGAACGGGGTATGGGAACAACTCAATTCATCCTCATACTGGACGGAGTATTGAGGGATAGTATTTTTAGCGTTCATACTAGATGGGATATAGGGACGACCAGTTTGTTGACAATGTTGGATATGGGTTCACGCGTAGTGGGACATCCCTATGCACCCCCGGGGATATTAATAGGCAAATAAAAAGGAAAAGTTATTGTTTTTGCTCACTTAAATATGAGGTTGGAATGTTATTTGAATTATTGTGTTTATAGGTCGATTTTAAAAATCTCGCAACGGTAAATATATGCAATAAATGGTTTTCTTTATGATAAATGAATTTATTTAAATCAAGAGATCCATAGGTTGTTTTTATGATTTTTACCAACCTTCAGTTTCTGTATCAGTGATTAGTGTGATATTGTTACTGGGGTAGTGTACCTCACCCTTTCATTAACTATTTCAGATTAAGAGAACCAAAACTCAGATTTCGATCAACAAGAAGGTTGTGAATAGTTCACCACCCGGATTTCCTTCAAAAACATGTGAAGATCGTCGTAAAATACTCAGTATATTACATTTTGTTTATTTATTTAATTTTCGTTTGTTATTTTAGAATTGACATTCTAGTAACCCTGTTGAGTATTCTAAATTATTGTGTAAGAAATGTAAATCTTAAACTCTATTGTTTCGTTTCTGCATTTAATTCATGACTTTATTTCTTTTTAAGTTCTGATCCTTTACATCTTGAGACTCCCCCTATCCAGTCAATTGTCCTTCCAGTATCTGATTTTATTCCCACTGCCTACCCTCTAGTTGATGCAGTTCAGAAACTTCTCTTTACCATCACTGATCCTCCTCTATAGGCTCCTACCCTAGGACCGAATTAAACCACCTGTGAACCACCCCATATCCTCCAGCCCATATTTTGCCAGAATCACCCTTCTCCATATGCCCTTTCCTCGCCTCCACAGCCACTTCCCTAACAAAGCTTGATTCATTTCTACCAAAGATCTAATCCCCAAGCTCCCAACTTTAACCAGATTCTTAAGTTCATTCGACCCAACAAGATGATACTTCCTCTGGTCATCCGAAGTACCCCAAAGGAACTTACATTGAATCCTTTCCAACTTTCTAGGCTAGCTAAATACTTGTGGTGGGCTTTCCCCCCTTATAATCTATATTTCCTACTAGATTAGGGACTTATTAGAGAGACCTCCAAGTTTAGAAATACCTGATTATGAGAGGAAAAAATAAATCCACCCACTATGCAGCAACCATTCACAATAAAACTCTCGAGCACACAATTATAACCATGTACAAAATGCAAAAACAACCATGAAAAAACATAAACAAACACGAGAAGAAAGTTATTAATTGCTGACATAGACTAGTTTGCTGTAATTACTGCATGAACTGAGTGATGATGCCATAAGACAATCAGAGTTTCCAACTAAAATAGTTATTGTTAGGATCATAAGTAGAAAAATAACACCTTTTGATAAGGTGTATTAGAGATGGGATGAAAACATTATATAATTAGTGGATAGTTGTATTTTGGTATTGTGTTTGTTGTTTATGGGTTTATGAGACAGGTGTATGTGCTGCATAATGGTGCTATTTGTGGGTTTATTTGTTGTATTTTTATGAAGTATTATCAGTGTTAGTAGGAGAAAATTAGGGAGAAACAGATGGGTGGTTAATGTTGTTCTGGAAATTGACTCCCAAATAACTGCTTATCTTTTTTTTGTGTTCTGATGGTAAGCAGTAACGTGTATGGTAGAAGGGAAGAAGGGTTAAGGCTAGGATAAGGAATATGGGTAGTTATGAGTAGTTATGAGAATAGCTTCCAGTATAACTGTTTTTCTTTGTACTTAAAGATCAAGCTGAGCTGTCTTATGTGTGGCCCTCTCCCCTAATGTATGTGTTATGTGTTTTAGAGGAGGAGCAATGCATGCCCATTTGTTCCTTTATTGTGAGTAGCTTGGAAGTTGTGGATGGACACTTTTAAGCTATTCGGCTGCTTTGGGGTCTTGCCTCTAACTCTGGAGAACTTCCTTTTCTTTTTTCAAAATAATTGTGGAGAATTTCCTTTATAATATTGATGGGAATTGGGTGAGGAAAGCAGCTAAGCCTTTGTGGCAGATTGTTCTCTTTGTAGGTTTATGGTATATTTGGCTGTGCTCGCAACTCTAGAATATTCAACAACTGAAGTACTTTGTACTCTGAGTTGTTGAAGAGGATGACTTATTTGGTGTCACTGTGGCCAAAGGGCATGGTTCCTATCAGAATTTTAATATCTCCTATCTGTACCATAACTAGGATATCATTATTCACAAGACTCAGCCTTTTTATACGATGACTGTCTCTTTTTTTTCCGGCTGTTTTGGGCTGCTTATATTTTTTCTTTTATTCATTTTGGAAGATGTCTCATTCTCCTCTCATGTAATCCGTTTGTTCATTCTCAATAAACTCTTCTTTTATCGAAGAACAAGGACCAAGCTGTCTTTTTGACAGATTATAAATGAAGAATTAATTTACAAATTTTGAGTACTTGTCTTACTCAAGAAATTACAAGGCTCTTTCTTAACGAGTCCTAAGTTATTTCAAAACAGGTAAAGGTAGGAATACTAAGAAACACTCAAAATTTCGGCAGATTCACATTAATTGTCCTATAACTAGATCCATAAGTCGGAACTGTAAAAAGTTATTAGTTACTGACTATGGACTAGTTTTCAGATTCTAAACAAGATTGAAATCAAATCTCTTATAGAGAATTAAAACAGGTTACCTAGTTTCCTAATTGAACGAAGGCTCCTAGTGTTAATCCTTCAGGCTTCAGCTATCCTCTCTCTAATAGAGGTCCATGTAGACCAGGTTATGGTGTTATTATATTGAATTCTGTGTTTTTGGTCCTTGGATTATCTACTTGGGAAAAGTAAAAGGAAGTGCCTAATATTATCTCCTAAAGCATTAGTTCATTGTTGTTTCAGGTTGGGACAAGGGAGAGAGAGAGCTTTACAATATTTGAGAGAGAATCCTCTTCTTCATGATGAAATAGAAAAGGTTGGTCTCTATCCTCCATTCTTTTTCCTTAAATGAAATGATAAATTGTTTACTGTAGGGTTTTAGACTTTTTTTTTTATCAACCCCATATTTTTGTGGTATATGTTTTGATTTCAACCAATCTGGCTATGGTTATGGTCCATCCACGTTTTAAGATGTCCTCCCCTTCAAATATGCTATTCTGTTGGTTATTTTGCTTCCTGGTCATGAATCTGTTATGTGATGCAAAATCTTTTTTTTTTTAAGTGAAAAGTAGTAGAGTAGTATTACAGTTCCTAACTTTCCACATAGTCCACATAAGCAAATGGGAATTGAATCAGCAAGGATACAGCTGTTACTGAGATGCTTCTTAGCCCAAATCTCTTCTTTGATAGAACCCGAACAAACCCAGCTAATACCCAACCGGTTTTAGACCATGCACAACAAATGATTAGACAGCAGGGCAATTTAGAAGAAGGTGCTACAGTTTTCCTTCTGCTTGTTTGCATAGAATAACAAGCATTTAACCAAAAATTAACCCCCTTCTTCTAAGCTTATTTATAGTCAAAATGCATTCTCTGCTAGCTTCCCTAGCAAAGAAAGAAACCCTTGGAGGCACCTTGATTTTCCAGATCAGTTTGTAAGGAAATGGCAGTGTTACAACCCCTCTTTAATGTGGAATAGCCTCCCCCTGCATTAGACTCTTGTACCAAGATTTGATAGAGAAAGAACCATTTTTTGTGATATTCCAGCTGGGTTTATCCTCAATATTATTCAACCTGATATCAGACAATAATTCCAGCAGCTTTTCATACTCAGGAATTTCCCAATTGTTAGATTACGAATAACCACCACCTGCTAAGACCCCTCGCCAGTCTGACTATTAAGAAAGCAGTCACGAACTCGGGCAGCTTTATTCTCAGAAATAGCAAAAATTGCAGGGAATCTGTCCTGAGAACCCCCCCCACCAGTAGTCTTCCCAGAAACTGATCTTATTCCCACAACCCACCTTCCATCTGATCTGTCTAAGGAATTTTTCTTTACCATCTAATATGCTTTTCCATAGACCCTTTCTATGACTTCTCACCACCCCAGGAGTTAGCCACCCAGACCCATTAAGTCCATATTTTGAAGCAATAACTCTCCTCCACAAAGCTTTCTCCTCATTGATAAATCGCCATAGCCATTTTTCTTGCAAAACAGTATTCATTTCCACCAAAGATCTAATCCCAAGACCACCACTTTGTAAGGGTTTTTTTAGCTCATTCCAAGCAACAAGGTGAAATTTTTTGCTATCCTCCCTATCTCCCCACAAAAAGTTATATTGCATAGTTTCCAATCTTTTAGTCACATTGCATGGGATAGACAATAAAGATAGGTCGTAAACTGGCAGGTTACTAAGGGTACTCTTGACAAGTGTAAGACAACCGTGTTTAGAAAGTAAATTTCTTTTCCAACCAGCCAATCTTCTTTCAACTCTGCTGATAATCAGATCCCAAGTCCCTCGGTCTTTGTAATTTGCCCTCAAAGGTAAGCCGAGATATTTAATTGGTATATTAGACTTCATGCAGCCTGAAGCTTCAACCAGGTACGATTTGTTATCCGCTTCACCTAGCCCCACAAATTCTGATTTTGACAAGTTAACCTTCAAGCCTGAGACCACTTGAAACCCCATTTGGATGCATCTAATGTTCAAAAAAGCTGTCAAATCTCGTTCGCTAAATAACAGAACATTATCAGCAAAAAATAAATGAGTTACTTCTTCTTTACAGTTACTTTTCCCTACCTTCAAGCCTTGAAACAGATTCTGTTCTCTGACCTTCAAGATCATTTTGTTAAGAGCTTTCATCACTACGATGAACAGGAATGGTGGTAGGGGATCCCCGTACCTCAATCCTTTGGATGGCCGAAAAAATTTTGAGGGGCCACCATTGACAATCACAGCATAGGACACAAAAGTTATACAAGTGGTGATTTATTTTCTTCATTTAACACCAAAACCAAGCCTCCTGAGCATATAGTCAACAAAAGACCAATTTACATTGTCGTAGACTTTCTCCATATCAAGCTTGCACAACACACCATTCCTTTTCTTGTTAAGCAACTCACCAACTAATTCATTAGCTATAAGTGCTGCATCCAGAATTTGCTTACTACCAACAAATGCATGTTGAGGTCACCCAATGATGCTGTTCAGAACCCTTGCTGTTCTTCTAGCCAAAACTTTGGCAATCAATTTATACACACTTCCAAACCAAACTAATATGTCTGAATTCCTTTATTCTAATGGCTCCACTCACTTTCGGTATGATGACGATAAAAGTGGAATTAATAGACTTTAAAAATTTCCCAGTCCTATGAAAATCCTCAAACAGTTTCATCACATTCTTCTTTATCACCGGCCAAAAATCCTGCAAAAAGCCCATAGGGAAACCATCCGGCCCAGGCGCCTTTTCTTTGTTACAATCTTTCAGCCCCTCAAGGACCTCTTCCTCAGTAAACAATTTTTTCCAAATCCTGGCTCCTCTCGATATCTGGACTATTAAAAGACAAGCCGTCCAGAGTTGGTCTCCACTTCATCTTTTCTGTGAATAACTCGGCGAAGGGCTCACTGGCTTTATCCCTCAAGTTCTGATTTCCTTCTATCTCTTCCTCCCCGAACCGCAGCGAGCTTATAAAATTATTTTTTCATGTTGCCTTTCAAGGCAATGAAAATATCTGGTATTTCTATCCCCTTCCTTGACCCATTTTTCCGTTGATTTCTGTCTCCAGCTAGCCTCTTCTATTTTGTAGAAAGAAACCAATTTTTTCTTTGAGTGGCTTCCTTTTGTAAGCACTCCTCGGCCACCATAGGACTTTCCTCCTTTTTGTTCCAGGCTGCTCAATTCCTTCATCATAACACTCATTTGAAGCTCAGTCTCATACCCTCTTCTCTACACCACTGCTTAATTCC